CGTATAGAAGAAACAGCGGGGGACCCAGGACTGTGCCTTGCGGCACTCCACTCCCCACCGACTTCCAAGTGGAGAGGTGAGAATTGATCCTAACTCTTTGTCTTCTGCCGGCGAGGAACCCCTATCCATGCAACCGGACTGCCAATGATTCCTAAACTTTCCAGTTTCCGAGCGACCCGGTGTGAGGTACTCTGCCGAACGCCCTGCTGGAGTCCATCAAAATGACATCTGCAGGTATCCTGTCATCTTTAGGCTTAACTCAACCTTCTCTGACTGCAAGAAGGTTCGTCAAGCAAGAGAAATTCCTAGGAAAACCATGCTGTGAACGAGACGATAGAGTGTTGCTCTCTAAGTTGACTGTGATGGCTTTCTTGATTACTCTTCCTAGGATTTTCACCACAGTACTAGTCAAACCCATCGGTCTGTAATTTGCTGGGGGCTGCCTAGAACCTGCCTCGTGTTAGGTGTTACCGTGACATCCTTCAAGTCATGGGAGAGTTTGCCCTCACCGAGAGACAGTCTGAATATAGTAGTCAATGGGCCAGCTACATAGAGTGCAAGCTCTCTGAGCAGCCTTGGGTGCAGCCCATCCGGTTCCATTGGTTTTTCCATATCGAGAATACTTAATGTCCGCAATACACCATTGCGATGGATATCCACAGAGTTTGTTCTGTTAGACGTCAATGCTTCTGCCGTTGGATATGCATCTGCAGAAGATTCCTGTGTGACCTTAGCAAAAAATTCAGCCATGGCTTCTGCTTTTCCCCTGTATTCTTCAATCAGACGCTCAGCTTCGGTCCCATTGATTAGGGCAGGTATACCACGACACGTATTATTTCCATAGTTCATATAGGAAAACAGCCTTTTCGGATGTCTCAATGCAGTCTAGGCAAGGCGCGTTTCAAGGCTTATTCCGGATCGGCGGATAGCAGCGATACATTTATTGTGAGCTTCTATGCAATGCTTCGCCACCTCAGGTGTACCGAGGTGGGTGGCAAGACTCTAACACTCTCTCTTACGTCTTAGGAGGTTTCGGATTTTGTAGCTTATCCACGGAGGGCATTGTCTCCGTCCCCTTGCGACAGTCCACGGAATGAACGGTTTGGTCACTCATACATATGACTGCTAGAACGAGCACCATGCACCTTCAACTGGGGCTTCCGGATTGGTTCTTCAGTCCTCCGAAGAGGCCGCCAGGTTGATAGCTTCCATATTTGCCTTCCACATGCTGGGTCTAGCTGGGGCATCGGCCCGGTACAGAGCGTATACTGCAAATCTGAAGATGATCACGGCGTGATCACTTTTGCCAAGGGGTTCTAGGTGCCTGATGGAGCACACGTCATCTGTATGTAGGAATACTAAGCCCAGAACTGGTGGAGCATGTTGATGATCATATCTGGTTGATGTCTTGATATGCTGAATGAGGGCTAAGGAAATTGTTGTTTCTACTAACCTGTGGTCAAGCAAACTTCGTGGTGCTTTTGCTGCTAGTCTATCCCAGTCAACTGATGGTGCGTTGAAGTCTCCTACAACTAGACATCTGCACTTATCTGTCCAGAGGGTCAGCTCATTCAGGAGGAAGTGTGCCGCTTCACATTCGGGGCTTCGACATATTGCGATTACGTTAACATCTTGCCCCTTGCATTTTAGTCGACAGCGCAGCATTTCACACGTCCCACTTTCATGTGCAACTGTTTCTACGGCTTTTACAGTTAAGTTATTCTTAACGTAAAGGACGACACCACCACCTTTGTGTGCTAACCTGTCACTTGTAAAAGGAACGAATCCTTGCAGGTGTCTCACAGTCACTGATCCAAGAAGAGAACCAAGTTTTTGAAATAGCAATGATGTCAGGGCTTTCGTTGCTTATCACATTACTAAGCTCAGTTCACTTGTTTCAAAGGCTACGTGCATTTGTGTACAAGACAACGAAACTACTTAAATGAGTTTCCGTCCAATCCATTGAGGCTTCGGCATCATTTGTTGCCAAAACCTCACTACACGAAAACCCACTAAATTCAGATCTTGCTCTCCAGCTGCCAATCAGGACTTAAGTTCTGCCTCCCATTTTTTGATTCGATCAGCAAGAACCAAATTCTTTCGCACGAACGCATTTTTGATTGTTGAAGTCTGTGAGCATTCTTCAGAATATGATTCCTCTCATCTGTTGACTTGAACATGAATTTATGAATCCCAAACTTCTTTTTAGCACTGACTGTCTCCTGTTTGCCTACTCTATGTTTCTTGGGTAGGACGACTGCTGGCACGTTTTCCGGTAAAGGCTGGTTTATCAAACTTTATGCCTTGCCAAGGTCAGGCTCGAAACGTTTAAGTAGTTCTGGGCCTCTACTTCCTTTCTCTCTATGGGAGATTGCGGATCTGTCAAGGGGCTCCGTTTTTGTCTTTGCTGCGTGCGGTGATGACAGTTCGTTGGATGACTGTTAATGACTTATTGATGTGCTGTTTAGACTTGATTACTTGTCATTTCTCAGAGTCAGGTATGCAGGGCTTACCAAAGCCCGCTCCAGTGGCCTTGACATTGACAGCCTCAAAACTGACCTGCATCCTATCCTGTGTAATTCTCGTCACTGATTGGCTTGCCGAAGTGGGTGTGATTTGTGGCATGCATGGTTCCCCAGATGGCACCGCGCGAGTTTCGCTCCTGGTTGTTTCATAGGAGGTAAACCTAGTCTTACGGTCGGTAGTTTTCAGTATGGTCTGCCAGCTCTAGGGATGCGAGAACCTGAGGATAATCGCTTACCCTGCTTGTTGTAGGTTTTTCTAAGTCTCTGTCAGCAAACGTGGTGAGTAATCTACAAGTCCGGCTTGCAGCTTGCCGTGGGAAGTACGTAAAACTTTGCACGGCGATCTGTGTATCAACGAATGTCGTGTCGTTATCACTATCACAGTTATTGCCTTTCCCTTTCGACTCTAGTTTCTTCGTTGTCGTATTTAGAAGTGTTTTTGCCTCTTCTGCCGAAGTGCGAATATCTGAGCGTCACCTGTGAAGCAAAGCCAGAAACTCCTTGTGTTACTGTACCTCTTATATGCTGAGGACGTGAGGCTTGTGCAAGTTTCGTGGAACCAACTCTTGCATTCGCTACACTGTATACCAGAGGCCACTGTGAAGTGGCACCTGGCCCTACCGCAAGCATTTTTGCGACACTTTTGGCTCATCATGTAGCATAAACTACGGAAATTCACCAGTATAAGTTCCTGTCCCACTTGAATCGAATAATATTCCAATTAAACCAAAAATACAACAGCCTTTAATGTAGAGACGGGAAACATTCCAAGGATCTAGCTGAACGTGAAGAGTCACTCCCCCTTTCAAACAGCACGCTTGAGCTTGGTAGCACCGACTCATCACTTCATCGGGAAGACCCAGAGGATTCATTCCAAAGTTGAAATTATACGAAATAAAGTTAGAATGGACTCGTAATATGGCATATGCAACGACCTCAGGAAGCCCCAAAAACTAATCATAACCGGACGAAGTTAGCACATTCCGCTTATCTATCCCTTCTTTCAGCTACGACGAAATTTCGGTAGACGTTATATAAGATTACCCTAGGACGGTGACTCTTGCATATCGAAGTACTGGTGGCAGCATTAACACTGCACTGTCCACAGGACGGTAGCTGATATCTATTTTCTATTCTGTAGCGGGAGCACATAACAAGTGAATGACGTGGACAGGTATTTGGACACAGAGATGAATTCCACCCCGATGAATAACCTTCCAGCTTTACGCCATTTATAGACCAGGGAAATGACGCTACCTATCGAGAACAGATTAATTAGTCGTCGAATATCTCTGTTCTTTCAGGTTTTATTGAACCAAACAGACAACTGTGACCATTCCAAAACAAGAGCGTGCTTTAGTAAGACATATGTGGAACTCAGCGAACCATCGTTCACTAATTTTGCAATACAGAATTTGAAGTTTCACAAAAGCTCTGATTTGTTTTAATACATTTTCCGTTAGGCTAACTGCCGCATTCTGTTCCTCTTAAGCTGCCTATCATGCTCATATTGTGAATATTGTCTCCATCTTTTGGATCTACCTGCTCTGTTCGCAATAGTATAAACATGAGCGTCACACTTTGTTTGTTTGTGCTGTTGTCGATTAATAACTGCCTTCTTGCGACTATCAATTGGCGTTGTCAGAGCGCCACCTTCAGTTTTGGTGTGTATGAGAGTGTCATTTACTATTAGATATAATTGCATCCTATGCACTTACTAAGTTGTCGGCTCGCGTTTTTCCTTTCCTCTTCCGTTCTATATTCTCACCACTAAACACCCCCCTAAAACCGCGAACCACCTACTCCAGGCTAGACGAAACCTATCAACGGGTGTTTGTTACTTGTAAGTAAATCTTGGTGTGTTTGCTGAGCTGAGGCTCACGCGGTTGTTTCCCGTGTTTTCTGTTTTTCAGGTTGTGCTAAACTGTCGACGAATCACCTTTCGTTGTTGACCGATTATAAGCAGTCTTTGGATATACCGTATGTGCTCAATTTATCCGAAACCTCACACATTCAATTTCTAGCTCCGATCTCTTGAGTGCCTCGTCGCTTCTAATTATTACGTTGTGTCGATTACCTTTTAAAGTCATTATCTATGCTCATGTTTTTCTCTTTCAGTTTCTCGTCACCGAAAAACGCTTCTGTGCACCTCCCTGCAACAGTGTGCCTACAGGCCAGGCAAAATCTACTAACAGCTGGTCGTTACATGTCCTCGCATACCTTCTGATACGATGGATTAACATTGTTGGGAGATCTGAGGATACGTGTTGACATTCGAGCTTAGGTGCAGATTACGGTTCAATTGCTCATTCATTTCGAAATTTTTGAGGCCCTCATTTGCAGTCGTGTTGGAATATAAGTATTTTCGTTGTGACCGCAAATTATCAGTCCATCCTTTCAAGATTTTTATCGGTCGCTGTCTCTTTTGTGGATGTATATTGTCCCAGAAGTAAATCTGTATTGGAATTAATACTAATGCTCCATCGTCACAAAACTTTGGTGAGTCTGTATTATTGTTCTTTAGTCTTGTAAAATATCTCAATGCCTGGGTTAATACCTTTTGTTTTCCTCAGGTCTTACCTATAATTGTTATTGTTCGTACTTTCCTTCATATGGCGCGAAAGACCCTTTGGTGTAGATTACTGGTTCATGAAGTATTTAATTTGCTACCGATCTTAATGTTCAAAATGGTGAATTCGACTCTGTTCGCTTGTGTTACTTGGCGATCCAGGAATGTCTAATGGTGTAAAATTCACACCGATCAAATAACGTATTGTAACAGCTCATCAAATCAACTACCATATAATGTCAACAACCCTTAGAAGAGCCATTCTGGCTCAAACTAGTGACATAACATTGCACCAGGTGAAACAGTACATGATTAGCTTTCTTGATGGAAGTAACTAGAGAATCTGTAGTCCTTGGTTTCCACGATTACTACACAACACAGCAGATAAGAGCCATTGCAGATAAAGTTACTGATATGTAGAAATCAGCTGAAGCTATAGTTCGCAAATGTAGCAACTCGAAACTTGCTCTGTATTGTCGTAACTACTTACATCATCATCAATATCAACTTAAAACCAGGCATTACTGCGTAACGGTCCGAGTTGCCACAGCTCATATCGGTACATCAAGTAAAAACGCAGTAAGGTGCAAGGTGAAGATAAGAAAATTTAGTCAAAAGAAATAAAAGGTACGAGAAGAAAGAAAGGAAGAATGAGGAAATGGTGAGATTCAGTATGGCGCTAAGGTGAGGATAATGTGTGTATACATGTGCTCTACTGACATCGGTTCTGAGCCATACCATCTAGAGTCTCCACTCACGGGTTTCTCTTATCCCGCGGACCCCAACCACCTAGTCTGCATCGCCTCACATGGCTCAAACCAACAGTCAAAGACTTCATACATTGATGCCACGTTTTAGTCTGACCATCTTGAGCCTTTTTCTAGACTGAACCTACTTCGACCAACATTGTGTGATGAGGCAATTGGCGACTAGGCATACGCAACACACGTCCCAACCATCTGAGTCGATGAAGGTTCATAACCTCGTCAGCTGGTTTACACCCCGGAATACGGCCTATGCTATAAAGGCAGCGGTGGTCAAACACTTGGAACCTTCTCATGTCTTCCACCTTCAATGTCCATGTTTCACAGCCATGCAGTAGAACAGACCGGACTGCTGTGCAGTACACGCGACCCTCAGTAGACAAACGTATATCACGGCGACGCCATAGATGGAGTAAATTGGCAAAAGCCAATCGAGCCTTTTGTATCCGTACAGAGATTTCACCGGCAACTAACCCACCAGGGTCGATCCTACTTCCCAGGTAAGTGAAGTGGTCAACACACTCAACCACTTCACTCCCTATTGTTAGCCGAGGCACCGTTGAAGACCAATCCTGGAGCAACAATTTGCATTTGGGTGGTGAGAACCGCATCCCAAACATCTTCAAATTCCCACTCAAAGTGTTCAGAAGACTCTGCATCTTGTCAGCGTCTTCACTTAACAGGACTATGTCATCTGCATATTCTAGGTCTAACGAAAATCCTCCTGTGATTGGGTCAACGTCTGTGTAATTAGGTGACGAGAGGGAAACCTCCATAAGAATATCTATGATGAAATTGAATAGGAATGGAGACAGTGGGCATCTTTGACGGACACCACTCGATGAGCATAGCTCCCTGGAAATCTCACCATAGGCTCTAACACGCTCACAAGTGTTCGAGTAGAGAGCTTTCAATAGGCTGATGTACTTACTCGGCACGCCTTTCAGTGATAGACATTGCCATGAGACTTCTCGATCAACGGAGTCAAATGCACGTCTGTAAGCGTGCCTATGTTCCAGGACCTGGTGCAGTGTGAATATTTGGTCGATATACCCGCGGCCAGGTCTATAACCTGCTTGGTTTTCTCGGACTTGCTGTTCCCGAGCTCCACTCAGGCGTCGGAGAATTATAGAACCTAGGGCCTTGGGCACTATGTTCGTCAGGCTGATTCCTCTGTGGTTATCACAAGAGGACTTCTCACCTTTCTTGAAGACTGGGATAATGAGTGACTTAGACCAGTCGGAGGGGATCGTATTTGACTCCTATATACTAGCTAACACTTCCGTTAACCTAAGAGCACTGCACCACCATTCTTGTATGCCTCAGCAGGTAGTCCGTCTGGTCCTGCTGCCTTTCCTCGTTTCAGGTTACCAACTGCTTTCTTGACTTCTGTAGTGTTGGGGGGCATATCTCAATATTCCATTCAGGATCCAACTGGATAGCTGGCAACGCATTGGTGGCAGGGGGCCAGTTACACTGTTCCTCGAAGTGTTCTGCCCATCATTCCAGTTGTCTCCCCAGCGAGTGAATCGCAGATCCGCCCTTCTCCGCTATGGTCTTGCTAAGCGTTGTTGACTTTTTCCGCCCAGTTTCCTTAATTTATTATTATTTGTCCCTTGGGTTCCTAGTGGAACATAGGGCTTCAGTAGCACGCCTCCAATGCACTTTGTTCTCTGCAGTCTTTCGAACCTGGCTTCACGACTGCCCAGGAGCTTTCACTTCTCATGTGATCTCCATGTCATCCTCGAACGCTCAGTTCGTCGTTTCCCCTTCGAGTTCCACTCGAGGGCCTGGCCTGGTGCATGATGTCCCCAATCGGTCTTCTCAGTGAATGCCCAATCCATCTCCACTTTCTTCTGCATATTTGTTGAGCGATGGGTTATTGGTTGGTTCGTTGCCAGTCAGCCAGAGTTCCTCGTTGTTTATTCCTTCTGGCATCTGATCCTCAATATCGAGCGTAGGGAGCTGTCGATGAATGTAGTTTGTCGGAAACGCGCTAAGTTTCTGAACCATATAGAAACGCTGACTTGACTGAATTAGTGTTGAAAATCCGGATCTTCTTCTTTATGCTGTGTGCAGTAGATCTTCACACTTATTTAAGGTTAATGAAGGCTTATCTTGCCGTTTTTCAAATCCTGGCTTCACATCCTCATCTGTACCACCGCCAGTAGTTGAAACGATGTTGCCTAGGTAGGTGAAAGATACTACTTCCTTTAGGTTTCTCCCATTGGTGGTGATTGGTGCTTGTTGTTGTTGTTAGTTGGATATCTTCATCACCTCTGTCTTCCCTTCTTTCACTTGAATTCCCGTCTTCCTTCACTGCCCCACCTCTTCTGTCAACTTGTTGGTTTTTGCCCGTAGATCTTCGAGTTTGTGCGACAAGATATTAGACATGAATCATCATCATCAGCGGTGAAATCCAAATCTTTTTCCGGGTCTTTTCATCGGTCCAACCAGTGTATGCCCATCTTCTCGCTGCTCACAGGTTGTTGCTTTGTCCAATCCAGTCCATGACAATGAGGAAAATCACGGGTGATAGTAGGCGGCAACCTTGTCTTACTACTGTCTTCACTTCAAAGGCGTCGCTGAGCTTTCCATTGTTAATCACTTGGCATATAGCATCATATAGCATATAGCTAGTTGTTGAATGAGATTGATAAAGGTTTGTGGCACCAAAACCGTGGTATTGAAGCAGCTGCCAAATCACTTCTCGGTCGACGCTGTCGAAGGACTTTTCAAAGTTGAGGAAGGGAGTTGACTGCTATTCTATACTCTTCTATGATGATGTGTAGGGTTGCAATTTGATTCCTAAAGCCAGCTAGCCAGCCTGTTCCGGCCATAATTCTGAATCTAGGGCATCTTTTAGTCTCCAAGATGATGCGGCATAATATTTTGCTCGGAGTGGACAGCGGCATGATTCCAGTTTCTTTAATAAATCTAAATAACTGTCTACTTTTACCAGTCGCCGCTGCCTTTTCATCTCTTTAGCCTTCACTGCCCACCACTGTTCGCTCTCTTTGCGTAGACTTCTTCTCAATCTACTTTTAAGTTGCCCTCGCTCTTCATTGTACTCAGAACCTGCAGGGATGCGTTCACGTTCATCCATTAGTTCGGAAGTAGTTGCTGATATCCATTGGCTCTTTTTAGCCACTATTTTGGAGTCGGCCATGGTCTACAGCGCTGCTTTTATAGCAAACTGGAGATGGCACCAAGCTTCTTCTGGATGAGTGGTAGTCTTTTGTTCCGGTAACTGCCTAGCCAACTTCTCGCTGAACACCGCTTTGTTTTTTGTTGTCCAGCAGCACTCGTAGTGGTTTTGTTGCCGAAATTTTCTTACGTCCATTGAGACGCAGGCATATACGCGCTCAAACCAACACGTGGTCGGTATCCAAACACTTACTCTAGAAGGAGCAGCAGTCTTCCACCGATCCTCTCCAGCGATGACTGATAGCAGTGTGGTCCGTCGCTGAGTTGAGCTCGGTGGACGCCACATCAGACATTGTCTTTCTTTATGTCTGAAATTTGTGCTAGCTAAAAATAGGTGGTTATCTGAGCACACTTGTAGTAGGCGATCACCGTTATCTGATCATCCAGCCGAAATTCTGACAGTGACACCGAAGTGCCTTTCTGCCTCGCTCAGTCTACCCACCTGTGCGTTGAAGTCACTTGCCATAACCACTACGTCCGAACGGTTGGTTTTCAAAAGGAGGCTAGACAGTTTACGGTAGAACTCGTCCTTCACTTTATCAGAACTGAAGTCATTGGGTGCGTAAGCAGAGATTACAAAGAGGCAACGGCGAGTCTCACTATTCCTTTTAGTTCTCACTGTGCCGTTCAGCCTCATAGCGCAGGGGCGACTATCAACTGGAATCCAGTCTAGTGGTGAGCTTTCTGCCCTAGTACTTAGTGCTACGCCTAAACCTACAAGACTGCGAGAGCTAGCTATCGAATCTCCAGAAACTCGAAGGGTGAATTTTGCGGATTCACCAGATTGGTCAGGTAAATAACCACACTTGGGTCCTGTATGCATGTCTCACAAACACAGCACACATCCATGCCCTGAGTTGCTAGAGTCTTTGCTAACGAAGCCTGTTGGCCAATTTGACGGAGGGTGAGGACACTGAAGGCTCCAATATGTAATTTGGAGCGTGGTTTAAGGAGACCAGTGATGCTGTTCTGTGGACTCAGATTGTTGTCGAAGGCTGCAGAGCTAAGAGAAATTGAAGATGATGTAGTGTCGTTAGTTGAGAGATGTGAAGGAAGATTAGAAGGTAATGATGAGTGAGGTGGATAGCAGTCTGAGGAAACTTGAGTGCTGATAGAGTTGTGAGGGCAGTTGACACTTCTCGGCTGCCTACACTGTGGAAGGCTATTTCTTCTTAAGGTACCTGAAAGAGATTTGTGTGACCGCAGAGCCCATCGGACATCTGTTTGAGGCAAGTCACACTCAGCCTTTTGCGTATGATTATTTTGAACCTTTGTATTTTCGGGGCTGGATGGTCGAAAGGAAACAACAAATGAATCAACACTGCCTGCCCGGCAGACCATGGGAGATGGTGGAGTGTGTTATTTTTGTGGCCGGCGTTTTCTAACTCACCCCTTCCACTGAGAAGGTAGCATCAGCATGCTACTGCTGGTCATCCAAGGGAAACACCTTACTGTTATCACACCCCATCGAGCTAGCGGCAGTATGACTGCCCTCAGACCCCCATCAAAGTGTATTAATTTACACCACAATGGTAACTGCTTTTTGTCTAACCACTATCCAGCAGACGTTTCTGGCATGGTAGGACCTCGAGGGGACAAGTGTTCCACCAGCACAGCTCGTTGGGTCATTGTGATATGCAAGCCTGACCACCAGACCAAGGTAGCTAGCAGGTATTGGTCGGGCGTAATTGCTTACTGTTATCCGTAATTTGTCGAGGAATGCACCAAACTGCTATGGCTGCTAGGGATGCACGGTATCGACTGTCAGTTATCAACGTTTTACAACTCCTACTTGATTTCTGATCTAGCAAATTAGTGGAGAAGGCACACGAAGATGTGTATGAAAGAAATGTATTCGGACGAAGTATGTCGCAAGATATATGGAAAGCATACAGTGCCATCTAAGGATAGGTGGGATAATCACAATCTCAGTAAGTGAGATTGAGGATTTTTCAAGAGATCTGAAGAGAAATTAGAAAGTAAGGTTGTAGAAGGTGGGCAGTAATGTGAGGGAACTTGAGTAGACATAGTTGTGAGGGCGGTTGGCACTTCTTGACTGCCCACACTGATAAAAATTAGTTCTTCTTTTCCTATCTGAAAAAGAAGGGCTATTTTGTGACCACAGAGCCAGGGGACATCTGCTTGGGTTCGACATTTGAGTTTGTATTTGTATTCGACTGTGAACACATGTTGCAGGTGTCGGCATGCTATGGGGTGATTGGAGTGTGCTATCTTTGGGGCCAACCTTTTCTGATCCTCTTCCTTCCCATAGGAAAGATAGCATCAGTGCGGCAGTATCCAACCAAGGGAAACACCTTAATCCTTTCATACCCATATCCAGTCAACATTGCAACTTCATCTCCAAATGTTTATCATAGAGTAGCAATTTACACTGTTATGGTAACCTTTTGTTTGACCACTATCTAGCAAACCTTTCTTGATGGAACACACATCCTACCGTGTCTCATTAGACTACTATAAAATGCACGCCTGACCACCACGTCAAGGTGGCAGCTATCGGTCGGGTCTAGCTTCATGCACTGAAATTGACAGTAGTTGATAGAGCTGTTGAATGGGATCCAGTCGAGAAAGGCGCTCTCTGTTCGACCGCTTTACGCATCAATTGTATCTGCGTGTATACGATGACTGGCCGTTGTATCTCAAGACACTTGTAGAGCGAATTTCGTAGATTAACCACATTGGCCAGATGAAGTCAAGTGAATAACCATGCTTAGGTCCTGCATGCAAGTCTCAGAAACATAGCATACATCAATAGCTCGAGATTCCAGAGTTTTAGCGTAGGGGTTCGGACGTTGAAGGCTCTAATGTGAAACTGGCAGGGTTGGCAATATCCGCAGGGCGAGAGGTTGAGGAAGTTGTAAGGGGCTTAATATTGGCATCAGGAGGTGAAGGGAAGGAAGGAGACAAGTGAGGAAGAAGTTTGTGTGATTGGGTTCTTGTAGTTGGCAACCCTTGGAGACGAATGTTAATGTTCAGTCCACGCCATGGCTAAAGACTGTGCAATTGAATGACTGCGGGAAGTCTCCTCGGAAAATAATTCTGCTCATCTTTTCTCGCAATAATCTCACTAATAGTCGTTTGACGCTAGTTTCCTGAATAGGTGTAAAAGACTTTTTAGTTTTTCTTCCTCTCGAAGGATATCATCAAATATGATTATAACTTGGCCTTTTTGGTAGCATAATTCCAGCTGTTTTCGCTGTCATCGTTTTCCTAGCCATGTCGGTTGGGTTTCTGAGCAACTTACAGTTCAAAAAAAATTGAGATCCCTGAAGCCTCCGTTTGTGTGTTTGCATCAGTGGTGCGGCTAGAATGATCTGGACCGGCTTCCAACTTCAGTATACAAATTGAAGCAGTGAAATGCATTGACTACTTGATGTACTCAAAAAGTCCGACTAACTTGTATAAGCTGTAAGAAATAGCTGCCAGGATTAAAGAAGTAAACAATCTCCAGGTTTTGATCATAGACATGTCCATGGCGTCAGTTGTATGTGTTGAAACTATGAGTTAAACAGTGTTCAGGCTAGGTGTATGGTACTAGGCAAATAAATTAAGTCGGTCAGTGAATTTGTGAGTCTTCACACGTTATCCACAAATGTTTCCACTATTCATCTTCTACTATCATTCGTTTATTTTCCCCTGTTATACACTTCATTGTTTTGCTATTCATTCTTTCTGTCTGCTGCTGAAAAGTGTTACAGCTTGAACCCATGTACTTCTGTCCAAGGTTGTAAGTTGAATTGTTTGTCTGTTTAATATGTAAGCAGTACCTTTCTAAATTAAATATGATGCTCTCAGGCTGACATTTATCTCAGAGTGCCATTAGTAGAACTATTAAAAACCTATGGGCACTGGACAACCGTTTCCTCGCACAATAAGACTCTTTAGCAGTACCCGTACACGATCCCTCCAAGGATAGAGTCCAGCACCGTCAAGTCTGGGGATGATCACGGTACCATTCAGTCACTAGATTGGAATTCTGTAGTCCACATATCCTGCTTCTATCGATTCGTGGTATGATACGTTCATCATACAATGCCACTGGCAAGTTTTTTCCTCTCACCGGGTTTGATTGATTCCACAGACCATGGCTTCATTAGAGCTTCGGTAAATCCATTTCGAAGTATATCATTTATGAAAACTACACAGTAACTTAATTTTTAAAGGTTTCTGGCGATTGATTTACTTCTAGTTAGTATTCATTATAGACTGACACCAGTTGAAGAATTATCTAAGACGTAGAGGAGCACTGGGGTACTGTTTTGTCCTGGTATGGGACACCGACACCTTATTGATCGATAACTTTTGTTATAATCTAGCATTTCGCGGAATGTCAGATTTAGTTGGGAGTTCTGACCGATCTTTAGTTGTTTTTTTCGATCAGTTTTTTGTAGATCAATGCTCTAAAGAATTTCCTAAATCATCCCTTGAATCTTCTATATTCGATGTAAGTGTCATTTGAATTGTAAATATGAATTTTCAGTTCCTGGAAATTAATGAGTTTGCTGAAGATGCACTCTTTTTTGAAAAACTTTACAAATTTGCAAAGATTTGGTCTCGCGATTCATGTGAGTTCATCCGCTTATTTATTTTGTAGCTGGTATTATCTCATGCATTCATAAATGTTCTAAAATAAATTTCATGGACATTTCTTTTGGAACCGGTTGCTGCTACACTCCAAACCGTAAAAGCAAATTCAAATATATGACGTTTATTTTGTAGTTTATGTAGCCCCATCGACTTTCGACTTCGTGGATAACTATGTGGAAGATACTGTTGATGCATTCGATCGGTTCTACGACTGCTTACATGAAAGTAAATTTATACTTATCTTTAACTGTTAGATTTGAAAAAACTTCATGATGTGGATGAAGAAGTACGTCTGGCCAAACAAAATTCATTTGCGTACAATAATCTGGCGTTCTTTTTACCTTCCGCTAATTTTGGAAAAGAACTTGACATTAATACTGTAAGTATTTTCTCTGAATGAAGTGCTATTTTCCACTCTTCGAATTTATAACCAACAATTTATTGTGAAAGTAACATATAGTTACTCAAAAATAACAGATAAGTAGAAATCAAATTGGCTACTCGTATGTAATGCTTATCATCTTAAGCAGTTGGGGGCAATCGACAGTACGTAGAGACAGACCAATCAATTTCGAGCCTGGTGTCGTTATGCATCACTCCAAAGTGCCACCATTCAGTACAGCATTCAAAATGTAGCTAGAAAAAGTTATACTCAAGTAAACATTTAGCTGCTACTTTGACATGGTAATCAGGCTTGCCTGTCACAATGACTCGAAAAGCTATACCGGCTAGATCACTTGCTTGTTGAGGTCCTACAATTATTACTGTTACCGCGTAAATTGTTGGGCTATGATAGGAATCCGAGAGCGAAGTGGTACCGCTTAGTGAACGCAGTGTAACAGCAGTTAGGGTTTCCTAGCAGCATCATACTGTGCTGTCTTCCCTCTGAAAAAGAAGTTGGAAAAAGTTGACTCCCAAAATAACACTCATCCCTTCTGTTGTCGATGGCATATGTTCTTCATACCCGGCGTTAACACAACCAGACTGTAAACCAACAGTCCTCAAACAACTATGTGACAGACCTTAATCAGCTATCCCATTGAATCTGCGGTTGCACAAATCTTTTCCTATTTTTCTGTCAGGCACCCTGCAGAAGCATCTCCCGTGGTATGTGAAGCGGTGAAGTGCCTTCCATCCGCACGCCTCCAGTGGCATACAGAACTCGATCAAAACAGCTCCCTCCTTACCTCTGTCTCCTTCCTTCCCTTCACCTCCTGATGCCAATATTAAGCCCTTACAACTTCCTCAACCTCTCGCCCTGCGGATATTGCCAACCCTGCCAGTTTCACATTAGAGCCTTCAACGTCCGAACCCCTACGCTAAAACTCTGGAATCTCGAGCTATTGATGTATGCTATGTTTCTGAGACTTGCATGCAGGACCTAAGCATGGTTATTCACTTGACTTCATCTGGCCAATGTGGTTAATCTACGAAATTCGCTCTACAAGTGTCTTGAGATACAACGGCCAGTCGTCGTATACACGCAGATACAATTGATGCGTAAAGCTGTCGAACAGAGAGCGCCTTTCTCGACTGGATACAAGTTAACAGTTATGCATGTTCTGTTCTACTGAATGAATTTGTAATAACTAGGAAGATTCGTGAGACTAACCGATGTGTATTCGTAATCTTTACCAACGCTCCCACCGACTGCATTTCGGATTATCCAAAGGATGAGCTGTACCAACAGCTCCAAATTTTACTACATATAGTGGGACATTGAGATAATGTCAAAATAGTAGGCTACTTCAACTCTTGTCAAGTGAGAAGTCTGAGTCAGTCGGAAAGGTATCTACGGAGTCCATGCTAAGGAAGTGCCAACGGTGATGGTGTGTTGCAATTTTGTTCAGCCAATCACTTGTTTCGCGCCAGCACAAACTGTGAGCATAAGGGAGAGACACTGTCTCACTTGGCGTCTGCCAGCATCTAGTCGAAGATAGAGATATATAAATCATACTGCTACATGCCATCGTTAGAGTGGGTCGATGACGGATTGTCGCTCATTCTGGGGTATGTGCTTGGACTGCGGTCATGGGCTAGTTCGGGCCCGTGAATCTTGAAATATACTCGTTGCAAGAAACAGGTAGTATTGAAGCCTATCGGTGGTCGATTTGAAGATGAAGACGCCAAGTATGCATTTAGAGAGGAGTTATGTAAGCATATATCTGAACGTGACATCAGTGTTCATCCTAAGAATACCTGGCGTGATACTATGTTTGCTGTCAGTACTGCAGTAAAGACAATTAGTAACGTATAACTAAAGGTTAACAAACGTCACTGGACTACCACAACGTCATCCGAACTGACTGGAACGAAAAGATGGATTCCAACTAGCTCTGACGACGATAAAGGGCGAAACCAACGTAAACGTAAATTGACCAAAAGTCTTCACAGTGATCGTGAGGAGTGTTGGGTAGCGAAAGTGAGAGAGATGGAAAGGCATCAGCGGTGGGTAACACCCGGCAACTGCTATACTTATAGGGGATACCGGCAATTAAAAGACAATGGTAAGTGAAACCATCGCCGAAAAAGATGGGATCCTGATAACTGCTCAGAACAGGCGGCTAAAACGTTGGGCAGAATACTTTGAAGCACAGCTCAACTGGTCCTCAGTAACGCTTCAGTTGCCTAACATCCCGTCAGGTCGAGCTCTAATGGGACGTAAATGTTGGTCCTTCAACTCTCCTTGAAGTTGAAAAAGCTGTGTCGAACCTGAAGCGGTTCAAAGCAGCAGGATCTAACAGTTTGTCACCTGAAGTTTTCAGGCATGGAGGTAGGAAGTTGCTGCCTAAAGTGACGGAGTTACTAAGTACTGTATGGGAATAAGAGATAGTCCGGTCAAACTGGTCTAGTTCACTGATCATTCCTGTCCCCAGAATGGACAGGAGTCTTCCTGTGACAACCATCGGAGAATTAATTTGACTAATATTGTGCTTAAGATCCCAGGATCCATATTTATCCGACACCTAACTAACTGGAGCTCAACAACAGCGAGATCGAGGGGACTAGGCAGACTTCAGACAGATCTGAATGCGTGTGCATCGATCATATGATCATCCTTTGACTGGTTCTGAAACACAGGCATACTTTCGGCCCCCGACACGCCGTATTTGTTGACCTGAATGTGACATTCGACTGTCAATCATGAGGTGTTGTATCAGTCTGACTGTGATGAGAGTATTGGGCAAGTATACAATGCTTCCTTTATACTGGTATACACTTTGTAAAATGCTAACGCTTTTTATCTTCACTCATTCACTAACATATCTTTTCTTCTGTAGATCAAAGAATTGTCAGACTCAGAGTTAGCTTTGAGAGAAAAATTACTCACTTTTGTCACTTTGGCCAGGAAACAGACTGAATATATTCATACAGAACTGGTTAGAGATATAGCTAGATTGAGTGAATTGATTGAAACTTCAAAGAAACTTGGTCTTAAGGAAGAGCAAACCATGTAAGTAAGAATTTCTGTTCTTGTCAGTACTTTGTATATTCTTATTTGCAACTACTCATTAGTTCGATCAGCAAGCAGTTTTTACTATTAAAGAAGATACAAAATTCAGCTTTTTTCGCTTCTGGCACCCGACACTTTGTTATTCGTGCTCGTAAACTCATCGACTACGTTACAAATTAGTAAAATTCTAATGAAAAAATTGAAACTAGTTCGGATTGAGAAAGGTAATGTCTTACTTATCAGTTGATTTCAAGACATTCAGAGAAACAGATGGTGTATGTGAGTACAAGCAAAGTCGTTCATTCTTGAAGTGGTGCTCAGGTTTGAATATGACAACAGTCCATCGAATACGTCATAGTGTAAAACATCTAGCCTATAATAAGACCAATTAATACTACGGGCAGCTTATGGATGTAACGAACCATACCACCTCTCTTATCTTAAGAAGAAACTCTTTGGAAAGAAAGACTACCTACGGCTTTCTGTCGAAAACGTATGGGTTTTCTAAGTACGGATACAAATCGACAAATATCAACATTCTGCACTAGGGCGTAAAGTAGTTTTGTTGACGAATTCATTTGCTTAGGTTTTCTAAGTACGGATACAAATCGACAAATATCAACATTCTGCACTAGGGCGTAAAGTAGTTTTGTTGACGAATTCATTTGCTTAGGGAGTAACATCACCGTTTACTGCTGATAAAATGTCGGTACAAATGCAAACACTGAATAACCCATCGAATTAAACCTTATTGGATACGGATGCGGTATTTGAATGCCTATTTAGAATAGATATTTCTCAGTCGTTCAGTTGTTTTGATTGTACGGTTGTAGAATATGGTCATTAAAGGTGTAATATCCACGGGTGCTTCAAATGTTTGACTACTGCTACTTTCATAGCGTCACTTTTTTCGACCGAAGCATTATTTGGGTGATGCACTGGTTAGGTTTGCGAAGAGTATTTAGTTGGAGATCCAGGTCATTTCATGGAAGTGTGTGCAGCTTCATTGTTTAAATTGAAGATCATGTTTTAGAGTTGTCGATGCACCATCTATAGCAATTCCAAATATCCGGACTAGAATTAAGTTGAACGAAGATTGAGTGACTTGTTCCACGTATGACATCAACCCATAAAGTCTCCAACCTTTGACGTGAGTGTTTAGAGAAGTGTAAACATGATTGAGGTCCACGAAACAACTAATAAAGGTGGTTGGAAGATCCTGATAATAGTGTAAAAGCCCAATGTGGAGTTAAAATCATATATTGGCAAAATACAGCTGATTTTGATGGAATTTCTGTACCTAGCCACAATTTTTCTATTTTGTAAATTATCTGCTCCGCATGATATTGGGCTCACGTTTTGTCTTTTGTAATACCATGCTATATTGTTTGTTCCTTCTGTCTGACTCTTCACACATCGGTCGTTGTCACTTCACACCGCTATTTACTACTTAAATCCATCACTACAATAGGAATCAGAATTGGCCAAAACGATACGAATGTCTTGGCGCTGTATAGCCAACTAATGCATAGCTTTGCATGTCTTTATTAATCGTTCGTTCTCTTCATCTCATAGTTTCAAGCTACCGCTGATATTGACATCTTCATTTATTTTTCACTCTTATTGTAGACTTCTAGCTGTCCTAGTGTGAAGTGTGACAATTCAAATCGATACATAATTATATCATATACTGTGTTGTTTGCATAGTTTGCACTCAAGTAGCTGGTCGCATTAGTTGCGTCTTCCCTAGAAGATTTTAATATTTTGAACCCTTATTTAACTGGTAGTCACTTAAAAATGACCCTCGTGGGAGATGGTTTCTTAACGTAAAACGGTCGAAGTCTTTTGAGCCATCAATCCTTTCAAAGTCTTGATTTCACGATTAAGAAGCAACACTTTTGCACTACCATGAAATATCTCCTTTGCAGGTACAAATAGATGGGTTAGTCTTTGCAGGTATCTTGGCTTCATTAAGAAGGCTAATTAATTCGCAGTATTGTGTAGTGTTGAAATTCTTACATACAATCAAGTAGCTAACGTTATTTGTCAAGCATAAGTAATAAACGTACCTAACTTCAACGGATGTTTCGCTACTTTCTAGCTAATTCGAATCGATCACAAATTCGCTGACCAATATTGTCACGTTCACTATTTTGTCACTCCTCTTTCCTTTCTTCTCGTACTTTATATTTCTTTTGACTGCATTCACTTATCTCATCCTTCACCTCACTACCTTTTTACTTGATGTGCTGATATGAGGTGTGGCAACTCGGTCCGTTAAGCAGTAATGCCTGGTCCTATGTTGATAATGATGATGATGAATATTGTCACGTATTCCTTTCGGAAAAAATAAATGGGACTCAATTCAGTTAGTATTTATAAACCATTTTATAGAAACACTTATTGTGTGGTGGCTTATGACACTACCTGGCTGACAAGGCGCAGATAGGCAGAGTAAGATTTAAGTCCGAAATCCATTACTTAAAATGTAAGTGCTTAGACCAACCAGAATATTTGGGAACTCAACCAAGCCATGTGTTTGCTTACCTCTTATAAAACTTAGTTTTTCTGTGCAGCGCTCTAAGTTGTCACATATGAAGTTGTAGAAAGCCCTAGTTAGCGAAGATAATGACAGTGAAATCCGATGTGGCGATGAGGATGAAGATAATGTAGGGATGAATCTTATCGGTTTTGGTTCATATATTACCTAGAGTCTACAAACAAGAAACTCAGTTGTCACAAGAACCATAGCTGGTAGGTCTAAGTCTGTTTTCGCTACTCGAAGCCTCATGGACTGATGTTATGTTTTAGTGTGTCCACCTTTGAGCTTATTGTAGTCTAAGTCCACTTCAGCTAATATTTCATGACTGATCATACTACGAGTAGACGTGTGTAACGTATACTCCAACCTCCTGAGTCGATGAGGGTCCACGATTTGAGTGACTGGCAAACTTTCTTTACGGGAGACTGCTCATAACTGCTACATTACTCAAGTGGTGACTAAAGGACCCGCACTCAACACTTCTAAAGAAAAAGTAGTTTTTCGCTTGAAGTCTTGTTATACTCTCCAACTTTAGACGGGGATTTCACACCTATAGAGTGGGGCAGAGAAACTACCTCGCGGTAAGTACTTTGGGCCATTGATAGGTGATAGTCATCTTGCCTAAATCACAGTTAGGGTATCGTATCAAAGGCCAGCTGGTGTTTCGTATCCATTTCGAAACTTCGTTAGTCAATGACTTATCAAGGTTGATATATCTTCATTATTATTTGATGGCGACAACGCACCCAACTACTTCATTCCCTATTTTCTGGCGAGAAATCAATAACTACCAGTCTTAAAGCAATGATTTACACTTAGTAGGTGAGAAACGAATCCTAGAAATTCTCATACTAAGATGCAATATGTTCAGAAGACTGCATTTTTTCAGTCTTCACTCAACAGGAATGTGTTTCCTCCATTCCGTCGATTAGATGGTCCCTTACAAAAAGACCAATAATAATAGTAATAGTGATAATAATGGTACTACAGCAATATGTATTGTCCCTGCAAAGTTGGACAGGCAGAAGGACATCCACATATGCATATCTGTGACAACTAAATCCAAATGGTGAAACTGGGCATGTCTGATGGACATACGGCCTAGATATCCAGCTGACAACTCACAGCAGGTGATATATAAACATGGTTTTTCGAGCATAAAGCCATCCTGAACATCCCTTTCAGAGATACTGTCAAACAAAACCTGGTTGACATAGTTGAATGCCGCCTCCTGATCAAGTTAGTACCAAGCACCTGTGTGTTTGTGTTTCAGAACCTGGCGGATTTTAGACACATCTTTTCCAAGTCTGAAGCCTGCACATCTTTTCACATCCGCTGTTCCTGTACTCTTATGTGATGGTTGTCAAACCTAGAATCTTAGGTATTATGCTCGTTAGCTAGCGATGGGAACCAATTGCTGAAATCCAGTGGCCCACGCTAACCTTTTCTTAGGGTCACTTGTAGTCTTTAATTCCCTTTATTAATCAGACAGGAGACGATAACAAACTTTTCCAAGTTGAGTGGCTCTGTACCGTCCTGACAGCTGTGGAGCCAGTTCATTCCTGAGAGCTATCGTAATATCCTCATCACCGGACTGTATTGGGAATGACCTGCAGCTACAGTTTCTTTACGTCCATTTGGGTGAGGACACATGCGCGCTTCAAACAGCGCGTGATCACCCGTCAGATAAACGCTGCTCAATGAGCCACAATCTCCCACTGACCCACTCCAAATGTAATTGATAGCAATATGGTCTATCTGTTCACTGCTGAGTTGAGCTTGGCAGCCACTGCGTCAGATAGTGTCTTTGTTTATCTGAAACTCATGTTGGCCAGAAATAGGTACTTTTCTTGGTACAAATTAACAGGCGGTCACCACTGTCCGTTCTTTCGGCTGGGATTCCCAAACTGCCACCGAGATACCTTCTGGCTTGGCTTAACCTACTCACGTGCATTGAAATCACCTGCTATGGCGGTCTAATCTAAAACCTTCGCTTTCAGTAGAAGGCAAGGTAGTTTTAGTACAAGTCATCTTTCACTTCGCGTGAACTGCAATCAGTGGGTGTTTGTAGGCAGAGATCACGAAAAGAAAACGGTGTTTTACCATTCTTTTTAGTCCTCATGGCATCATACAATCGAACACCACACAGATGTCTCTAAACAAGAACCCACTTGAGCAGTGCACTTCTGTTGTAACCATTCATGCTGTTCCCACGTATTCGAGGCCATGAGAACTAAGCCATCGAACATCGGAAAACTCGAAGGGTGAATTTGCAAATTTACCATATTGACTGATTGCCTTATGTGTATCTCACAAATGCAGTATCTACCCGTAAATTGATATTACAGAGTTTTGATTTTGTAAGGTTTGTCGTCCGACTGAATGGAGGATTGCGAAATCCAAAGTTCGATT